CGACCCTCTTTAGGAAAGTAAATTTGTATTATCCTATCTCTTTCATTCCATGACGCTTTCCTCAGAGTTCCACTCGGCTCTCTCACAACTATGAATCTTTCCTTTGGAATAACAGTAAAAGAAACAGAAATGCAAGCAAAGTAGTGATGATATATCACTTAACACTATATCAGATCTGAAATCACATTAATAAAAAATGTCATAATTAAATGTATTATCATTTAAAAGAAATGTTCAAGTTCATCCAAAAAATGAACAGTTTTAAACCAGTAACCATTGATGCATAGCAGGAAAACTATGGAAGATAATGGTTACAAGTCTCCAACATTTTTCAAAATAACTTTAACAGAAGAAAAAAAAAAACTTTGTTTGTGACTAGTGACAGGTAAGTAAATGAGTTTTGGGTGAACTATCCTTTACGGTCATTACACAGATATGTAAAAAATTGTTAACACTTTACAGTAAGGATGTATTGGTTAATGTTATTTAACATAAATTAACAGTAAACAACAGATCTGGTAAACATTACTTAATCTTTGTTATTGTTAACTAACATGTTAATGCATAAGTTAATATGAACTAATGGTGAACCAAGACTTCAGCATTAGATTACCTTTCTAACATTCCAATTAATCTCTTTACATTAACAGTCTAATTATTAATGTTAACTTACATACATTACATTTGTTCATGGATTAGATAGCATGACCTAAAAATGCAACACATTTATTCAGCAAAACTAAATCTGTTGAGTAAACTTAACATATATTAATGTGTTATTTAATTCATTAGTTAGCAGCACATTAGTTAATGCATTAGTTTATAATACCAAATAATGATCAAATGTTAGTAACATATTAGATAATGTTAGAAGAGTGTACACTTTACAATAACATCCCTAATTCAGAAATCATGTTAGTAAAGCATTATTAAACATGAACAAAATGCAAGTTAAAGATGCGGCTTCCATTTGAACTCTCCAAAAGCAGCATGATATTCATGTTTGTTAACTAACTACTACCCTGATTTGTCATAAGCAAAGCATTTGTTAAGGGAATTAGGAACCCTACACAACATTATATAATGTGGTACTAAAACTTGCCCATGTTAACTAATGCATTAACTAATGTTATCTGGCGCAGTAGGTAGTGCTGTCGCCTCACAACAAGAAGGTCTCTGGTTCGAGCCCCGGCTGGGTCAGTTGGCATTTCTGTGTGGAGTTTGCATGTTCTCCCTGCATTCGCTTGGGTTTCCTCCGGGTGCTCAGATTTCCCCCACAGTCCAAAGACATGCTGTACAGGTGAATTGGGTAGGCTAAATTGTCCGTAGTGTATGAGTGTGAATAAGTGTGTGTGGATGTTTCCCAGAGATAGGTTGTGGCTGGAAGGGCATCCGCTGCGTAAAAACGTGCTTGATAAGTTGGCAGTTCTGCTGTGGCGACCCCAAATTAATAAAAGGACTAAGCCAAAAAGAAAATGAATGAATAATGTGTTAACTAACATGTTAATTAGCTATGCTACTGAAACCATGAATGTAATGTAATAGCATATGTGTAAATAAACATGAACTAATTAGCCTGTTTATGTGTTAACTAATACACTCTTATTGTAAAGTGTTACCAAACATTATCTTACTCTATGTGGGATGTTAAAGTTTATGTCAGTGAAGACATATTTAGCAGTGTCCATGCCCTCCAGTATTCGATCTTCAGCCAGCACATCATCTATTGGCTTCCTCTCTGGCAGAATGGGTGGCATTTCCAGCAAATGTTTTGCATGTTCCTCTGCCTTATGAACTGCCTAGAAAATTTATTAAAAATAACTTATGATTGCTTCTAGTAGAATAACCGCAATCACATCAAATATATTTCATGAATCTGGAAAATCGTTATTTCTAAATACCATATTACCTTCAATTTCCATCCGCTCTCTCATACCTACATATATAACATTAGCTTCCTATCCATCATGAATACAAAAAACACGTGTAAAAAAAAAACTCACCTCCTCTAACTCAGTGTCTGTCAAAAGCTTGTATTTAGGTGGTGTTAGTTGCTGGATTATGGGTCGAAATACTTTGTCCAGTTTGAGACCAGTGATTTTAGTCAGAATATCTTGAACCTCTTTATCTGTGAACTGAGCTTTCAGAACATTCTCAGAGTCTGGGTGCACAAATAGAAAGAAATTATGACACTAACATGCTTTTGTTCTCCTTATGTTTCTATGTTGTACATAACATGACAATAACGTTATTATTGATAACGTTAATTGCAAGACTAAATAACACAATATCGTTAATTTATCGTGGCACTTTTGTTATTCACGGTATTTATCTGTTTCAATAATTTCATAACTACAATATTTTGTAAACGCATGACACTTAAGACACAACTAAGCATCAAACGTGAAATACAAGGTCAATTCCACATTATTGTGAAAAAAGAAACCGTAAACGTCACGTTTACAGTGATTGTACTTACTATTGCGTGTTGTCGACACACTGAAGATTCGTGTGCTTGTCTGCAAACAAGTTTGCACATTTTTATGAGCAGATTGAACGCAGAAGTAAGACCGTACTAAACACCTCGTAACGCTGAGCGCAGCCATGCTGTATATGACATCACTACGGGTGCTTCGAACTTCCTCCTTTCAGAGAACTACTAGGAATGCTGGGAAATGTAGTAAAAGGGGACAAGGCCCCAGTAGAATCTCCGGTAGGGATCGGTCTATGGTAGGGACTCGTTCACTAACACGTTTTAAAGCCTAAAATCTATACCATGTTATAAAAGCAGTCATTTACTGAAAAACAATTATCAGAAAAGTGATTGGTCAATAAGGGTATATGCGGAGCTAGTGTTTTTCCTATTCTGATAAACTCCGGTGAACAGTTACTGTGACTTTTTCATTTTTATACGATTCCTTTTATAGCATCGATTTTGTAATGTAATTAAAATACAATCAGTTAAACAGACTTTGGTATTCATTTAGTTGCTTAAATGTAAAATGAGACACAACGCCATTTACACCCACACCCCCATCAGAATCAGCAGGCTAGTGCAAAAGCTCCAATAACTATACTGGGGTAAAATAAATGTACATATTTTTAAGACATGGTGGGGAAAATTTTATTTAATGCAGTGCTTCTTGTACAATCTGATTTCCACTTTATATCAGATATAACTCAGCAAGCAGAGATAGCTGAGTTTTAAAGAAACAGACCTTAAACGTGCTGATTTTGTAATAGCATAGTTCACCAGAAGCGATTAAACCAGGTTACTGTCAAATTAAATCTCCTTTAGCAAAGTTCCATAGACCCTATTTACCTACTGAGACCATTCTCTAAGCCCCGCCCTCCTTGGTTACTGTTGCTACATCTGTCAAGCTTTTGCCCGTCACGACTATTATAGTATGTATGCACCGGTATCAGACTCCCAAGGAAAAAAATTTTGGCGAACTGGTGATATATCCGAGAGAGCCAGACAAAGGGGACTGCAGTATCCATTGAAGGGGTATATCCACTATATGCAACCGGTTAAAAAATAATTCAATCAAAATGGAAGCTGAAGCTTATAGGTCACAGCACAAGCAGCAGCCAGCTATACCCTGACCATTCAAGTCAGGGAAACACAAATAGAGGCACAGCTTTGTTCATGCACAGCAGGGTAAGTACAACATTCATTCATTTTCTTTTCGTCTTAGTCCCTTTATTAATCTGGGGTCACCACAGAGGAATGAACCAGCAACTTATCCAGCATGTCTGACGCAGCGGATGCCCTTCCAGCTGCAACGACTCACTGAGAAAAGTAAAAAATTCAACTAATCTAAGAATTATAAATCAAAGTTTACCCATAAATCTAGTGGAATAAATACAAGACATTAGCCTGACTAACGTTACTTTGCGGTAAAATCTTCCAGCTCATGTTTTTAGCGCATCAGGCTACTGCTCACACATCGTGGGTCTAATCTTTACCTTAGACCTGGCAAGAGCCAGTGATGCTGACTAGACATGGGACGATAACCATTTTCAAGGTTTATCGTGGTTTGGAAACGTCAAGGTTTTAAAACTGACAAACTTTGTTATACCGTTCCTATGATATATATATATATATATATATATATATATATATATATATATATATATATATATATATATATATATATATATATATATATATATTTACATACATACATACATATATATGTATGTATGTATGTATGTGTGTGTGTGTGTGTATGTATATATATATATATATATATATATATATATATATATGTGTGTGTGTGTGTGTGTGTATATGTATGTGTATATATATAATTTTTTTTTTACATTTAACAACTATTTTATTTAGTTTTTTGAGAGCAACAGTCTCTAACAGTCTCTTTTCTATAGCTGAAAAGCAACCTCTACATCAAAAGCTACTGTTCCAAAATATAAATATTTTGTAAAATGAATATGTATATATAGTTTTCAATAGGTAAAAATGTTGCAGTTTTTTACCCAGACATTTAAAAACAATATATATTAGAGAAGTGATCACAATACCGTGATACCCCAAAATTTTTATCCAAGGTTATCATACCATCAGAATGTCATACCAGCCCATGCCTAATGCTAACCCGAGACATCTATACACAAATAAATTCCTCCTGCACAGGTCCACCACAACAGTGGCACAAGCCAATTGGGAACAAAATAGGGGCAGTGCCAATATCATGGGGACCAATCGACTGTAAGTATACAAGAAAAAGGTACGTTAAAATTATTATTATTTTTATGCTTTTGTCCAAAGAGACATGTAAATAAAAACAATAAGATAGTTACAATTAGCAATGAACATGTTTAAAATGTTGGTAAGACCACATTAAGAATAGAAATAATAAACAATAATGTCAATAAAATTTAGAGCCTAATAAAAGATGCAATACTATAATATACATATCATAACATTACAGAGGCAGGCTTGTTAGTACAGAAACATCTCAACATATAAAACCCAAAGCTTTGTATTGATAGTGTTTTATTTTTCAGGACTTTCTCAGTTACAGAAGAGAAAATTGCTTTACTAAAAAGGCAGACAGAAGCACCCATCAGCTACTTGGTAAACAGACCCCGCTGACATAACTGTAGGAGGCGAGAGACACCCACTAGAAAGTGGTTTGAGCCATCAAGTAAAAGAATTAGATGAGGCAGTATTAAAGTGCATGTATTGTGCACGTTATATAAAATTCACCCAACGAGGCAGTGCAGGACGATAGCATGATGTTGCTTGACCCCTCATCTCTTTTGCACACAGACAACCTTAATCTTTGATTATATGTGGCTGGAAGTTAGACAGCATGCTGGCTACATACCACATTTGACTTATGTTCATTCATTTATTCATTTTCTTTTCAGCTTAGTTCTTTTGATAATCTGGGTTCACCACAGTGGAATGAACCACCAACTTATCCAGCATATGTTTTACGGATGCACTTCCAGCTTCAACCAATCACTGGGAAACATACACTACAGCCAATTTCAGTTTACCCAATTCACCTATACCACATTTTTGGGTATGTGGGGGAAACCGGAGCACCAACTTACGGCAACACATGGAGAACATTCAAACACAGAAACGCCAACGGACCCAGTGGGGGTCAGACCCAGCGACCTTCTTGCTGTTAAGACGATTGTGCTGCCCACTGCACCACCATGCTGCTCCTGATTTATGTTCACATTCACAAGCTGGAAAATCAGGATTGACATGACACAATTTTTAACTTCTTTATCTGTGCAATAGCTCTTTCAACACGAACCCTGCGCTTTGCTATTCTTTTGGTCATTTCAGCATCTGCATGTAGCATCTGCATGTGGCATCTGCATGTGGCATCTGTCTGTTTGCTCTTGCAAAAGGTGGAATGTTAAGTTGCAAACCAATCCTCAACTTCCTTCTCAATTAGAAAGCCTTTATCAACCATTAAGCCATCTCCTACATTGAGATGTACTCCACATTTAATGTTCTCCTTCAAAATGTGAAGGATGTTGCACTCATTGAAAATCTTTTCGTCAGAAATTACTCCAGTGAAAAGGGCAGAAACATAAATGACTGCGCCTCGTGGATCACAGGCCACTAGGGACTTAAGTGTGATAGAAGACTTGTAGGTGGAGTGAGTCTGACTCTGCAACACTAATGAGTTTGATCTCTGAATCTTCAGTTCAGTGCAGTCTATGATGGCAAATGTATTTGGAAATTCTTCCTTAAATTTAGCAGGCATGTTCTCAGAAATAACATCCCTGTGTGGCCAAAAACTGTCATATATAAATATAGTCCACCCAGGAGTTGATCAGTGTGCTGACACAGATCGACAAATTTCGATGTCATAATTGATACATTTGTATGAGAGAGGAATGTTTGTTGTGCACTTGAATCAGCTGGAATGTTGATACAATGACACAAAAAAATGACACAAGCTGTTAAACTGCTCATATGAAAACCCTGTGGAGAAGTACACACGAGTTTGCTTTTAAAGCATCTCAGGAGCGTGGATTCGGAAGTTCCTTTTGAAGATGATAGAGTTAGTCGTCCTCTGTCTTGATTTCAATCTTCAGATTTAAGATGTCCTGCTCCTGATAGGCTAATTCTTCCTTCAGGGGTTTTAGATCCTCTTTATGGTCACCCATATCATGTTCTTCTGTAATGACAATAAAGAGAAAAGAAACATGGAATGTTACAAATGCATGCTATTTTTTTTCTGTTTTACAGCTTCCTCTTCTTGATTCTGCAGGACCATCATCTGCAAATCAGCCGTCAAATGAATTCCCAGATTTCCTCTTTGCCAACACAGGCATTAAATTTCTGTACAGTGCTGCATGAAAAGCATGTGTAGTTATAGAAAATTGACAGTCACACCATCCCAGTCTTTAGCTTTAAATAGAGAAACCAGACAACAAGATACAAATTACATCTGGCATCTTGCCCGGGCACCAAGACTAACATCAAGTGTGTTCAAAACAGTGTGCTCTAGGAAAGCAGACTTTGACTCCTTGGCTGTAAGAAACAAGAGTAAATCACAATGAGGAGAGGGGTAGAGCTAGAATCTGTGGCACCGCAGCAATATTCAAAAGCAACAGGGAATCTAGTACAAGGATTCCCAAACTTTTTTGTTCCGGGACCCACCTAGGCAAGTAATTCATTCTCAAGACCCACCATAATATTTTAATATGGAAAAATTGGTGAAAAAATGTATCCATTCAAAGCAGTCAAAAATATATGGCTGTGGCTTTTTGGATTTTGCCATTTGAAATGCACAAAATGAGGCTCAAAGTGCTTTTTGTGGGATGCTGGCTGTAACTGTGATCATTTTTTTTGTTGAAAAAGATACTCTTCTTTTTTTTTAGAAGAGAATATGATCAACCTTTGATCAAACCCCTTTGTTAATGTTAGAATGCAAAGATCTATAATGAAAGCATTCGACTACTTTATTAACTGTTTGTGCTCATTTAAGAGAAAATTAGAAGTGACCCTCTCAAGGCAGGCGTTGCAGATTTGCAACAGTTAAAAATTAACTACCTTATAACTCCAGATACATATTTTATGAGTTTTTTTACTCAGAAGTACCACTGCAGGACTTGGTTGTCCATTAGCAACCAACAGTTTCCCCACTTCCTCACCAGATGACACAAAAGGCAAAAACTGTTTCTTGGAGTACCACATGACAAAGTGACTTGGAAACATGACCTACTCAATAAGGATTTGAGATTTTGGATTTGGACCCCATATTGTTTTTGTTGTCGTTCTGCCACTAAAAAAAGCTATTTGTTACATTGTTTGAAAAGTTGTATGTAAAAAGTTATTGTTCATATCATATTCAGTCGTCAGTGTCTAATTACCACACTGGGCCAATGTTGCAAATCTGCAACATCTCAGAACGCCTTGCATGTGAAGGTCTCTGTAAAAAAAAGAAGTCAGGATTCTATTGTACTACCCCGTATGATAATTTTCCCCAAATATCAGATTTCTCCTGTTTCTAAAACTTAATTTGAGCCTGAGAGGGTTAAAATAAAACACGCAGGACGGAGCAAAAAATAAAAAATAAAAACGAAAAAAAAAGAACGACTTTTCAGACGGTCCCTTACAGAGACCTCCACTCAGCGTGAGTTCTACCAGCTAAACGCAGATTGCGAGGGCTCAAACGGAGCAGTGCTCGTAATGTCGAGCGAAACATAACCAGCTTTGTCTTTTTGTAGGAAACACACTTTCGATATTTTTAGTGTAAGAGGTTTTTGAGTTATTGCCGTCAATCGTACTGGTTTTGATTCACCGCAATGTAAATATAGCTGCCGCTATGTGACGTTGTGTGACCCACCTTTGTTCAGTGTGCGACCCACAGTTTGAAAACCCCTGATCTGGTATACCCCGACGGCTTTGTGGTGAACCCACATGCTCCACACCTTGGCACTCCCCCAGACAAGAAAGTCATACTTAGTACAAGCTTTGGCCTTTAGGAAATTAAATGTCCAGCAAGAATAGCTGCCAAAACTGTCCCTATCTCCAAAGACAGGCAGAGGGTAGTTACAAGCTAAAGGAATCCCACACATATTACTACCAAATAACAGCATGCCTTGGTGCGACTTCTTTGTAATGTGTGCAGAAGACTACCACTTGCAGTAAATATGTTTCAGGGTGCTTTCACACCTACACTTTTGTTTCGGAACGTATCTCGTTTGCCCAGTTAGCGCGGTTCGAATGGCATATGTGAACAGGGCAATCGCGCTCTGTTCCGCGCCAAAGTAATCGCTCCGAGATCGCTTGAATGAGGTGGTCTCGGCTCGATTGAAACGAACCCTGGAGCGGTTCGATTGCAGTGAGAAAGCGATCCGATCCGAGCGCGGTTATATTACAGTGTTTTATGGATATGTAATAGGCTTACGGCTACATGAAGAGAGAATTATGAGTAGGACGGGAAGTTTCGCGAGTCTCCGGATGCCCGCAAACGAGTGATGATCTCCCGGTAATCTCGCGTCTCTCTCCCAGTCCTCAAATAGGCATCGTCGCGCACCCTTCTCACCCCTCCCCACTGTGTCTCTCCTCAGACACGTCACGCGCGCGCACCCTGTCAATCACCACCAAACCACCACCTCTCCTGACAGCTGAGCGGGACGCTGCAAAATAAACCCTGACACTCTGACCAATGTAAGGAGAGTTTACTCGCACGTGACTTGTTTTAGCTCTTTCGGTCCGATTAGAAACTTTGCAGTGTGAAAGCGAACCGCTCCAAGAGCAAAGAGCAACAATGTAACAATTTTAATCTCTGTTTCGGAACAACTGAATCGATTCAGAGGTGTGAAAGCACCCTCAATGTAGAAAAGTGGAGTAAGATAAAAGACAGGGTTCATACGGTCATGAAAAACCTGGAAAAGTCATGGAATTTTGACATGGCATTGTCCAGGCCTGGAAAAGTTTTGGAAAAACAGAAAAAGGTTTTGGAAAAGTCATGGAAATTACAATTCCATTTAGTCATTTAGCAAACGTTTTTGTCCAAAGTATCTTAAGCTGCGGTCACACTAGAGCTTACAAAATTCTGTCGTATGGCGCTGCGAAAAGGGGTGGTATTAGACAATATGATTAGACATTAATAAAAGTGAGCGATTGCTCCATATTTTACATTTCTAATGTTAAATTGTCTTCTATTGGTGTGTAAGACATTTGATATACCACAAATAGTTTGATTTCTTTGACAAATTCAAATATGAGCTGAAAACAGAGACAATCGGCTCAACAACCCACCAGGTGGGAATGCGGGAAAACTAGCTCTCCTCCTTTCCTCCATTTACATTTGAAACATCTCCCGAAACCCATCTTGGTCACCCAGCCCCTTTTTACTCTACTCACACAGAATGGTCATTTTAAAGGATGAATTTTCAATACAAGTGACTTTATCTATCATGTTTGATATCATTTGAAATGTCTCAGTGCGACTGGTACAATGGTCTCATTCCCTCAGGAATAGACATAATCAAAACAATAGATAAATAACTTCAGATATATTTTGAACCACTGTGAAGAGTGTGCCTTTCCTATAGGCAGAAACTCTTGCACTTAATGCACATGCCTTTTGTAATTCACACACTTCTTTCCTTGAGGGGATTCTTGGATTTTGTACTTAAAGGAAAGTTTCTAAATGTTCAGAGCGATTCTATAACTAGATGAGCCCATAGTGTGGAGCTCCACGCTCCATACTATGTATATTTTGAAGTCAGGTATGCATCATCTGATCTTGGATCTATCTTTAAGAACTTGATGTCTTGTATTGATTGTTTATGAATTGAATAAATAATTGGCATAATACATATTTAACTGACTATTAAATTGTTATGTTTGAACATATTTTGCTTATTCTGTAATAATTCATTCTAGTAGATTACGCTGTATCCTTGTTTCCGCACTTACTGTGTCAGGTCAGTAGACGGACTAAAATCCAGTTGAGATAGAGCATTGGGCACACTAATTGTATTTTAGGGATCCGATTGATTCTTGATATTGACTCAAGTGTACTTAGGTGGAAGAGCGTTAACTTCCATCTAGGACAACAAGGAGTACCCTAGGACTAACCTAGATTGGGTACCCGACCCTTGTTTGAAAGTAACGTTATACTAAATTAAGGTCATATGGGAAACCATGGGCTTGGCTAAACCAAAATTATTAAAGAGTACAGTAGTCAGATGGTTACATTTATTATAATGGCCCTAACCTCTGAATGAAAATTATATTGTCTTTACTCAAGGGTGTACATCTCGGGAAGACTAATTAAAAATAATTCAGAATGAGCAAGCATGGGAGCCACCATCTAAAAGTAGTAATCATCTACCTCTGTTAAATATTCAAGACTGACAAGAGTGTGACTGTGAGGGATGCCATCGGCCGGGGCGATTTTTCTGAGCGACATGAGAACACGAATGAACAAATGTAATAGTTATGACTCGTGAAGATAAAAGGTTCAAACATTTATCTAAATTATATATTGATATAATCTTCTTAATGTTTTATGATTGGAGTCAAATAAAATGAAAGATAACTATATTAATATAATAAAACCACCCCATATTCAAATTGGAGTCAGATCTGAGTTAAATTTGAGGTAAATCAACATTGTCCACTGGAAAGACCGAACAGGCAGTGAACCTTCAACCACAAGTGGACACCGCCATGGGGCCAACTGGGTGGACCTTACAGTTGTAACGCAATCATGTGATGTGATTTCGCAGGTAAGAATTCACAAAGCTTGAACTTTCGAATTCAGTGAAATGCGAAACTTGTCGAACGTGCTTGCGTTTATGGTCTGCCACATTCGCATGCCTATGAATGGAAGTCTATGGTGCGAAAAGTGCAGTGTGATCGCGGCTTTACAATAGTGGTTTTACCTACTATTATTAGTTTAAAAACTGTTAACATAATCTAAAATTAGTTTGACAAATATCTATATACTGGAATGTAGGGGTGTCAAAATTAATTAATCGTTTACACCGTAAACAACCCTGTAATTGTGACACAATACTGTGCATTTCATATTTACATTAAATGTGGTTCTTTTCTATCCAACAATACTTTTTGTTGTGCTACTATTTCAGTGTGTGTGTGTTTTTTTTTTTGCTCTGACGAGGTAGCTGTTTTCTGTGGTTCTGATTACTTTGTTATTTGCACAACAGCACCGTAGAACTGTGTATAGTGTTAAGCTGGAAAAAAAACCTGTACAGTATTTAGTTATCAAAGATTTTGTATACAAGTTTAAATGTTGTGCAATTTATAGTTTTAAGCAGGAGAAAACCTGTACTGTATTTTATTTACCAAAGATTTTGTGCAGCCGTTTATTTGTAGACAGGGGGGAACTCCTGCGTTTGAATTTTATTTGGCTCAAAAATGTTTAATAAAGTTTTAATAAATGCTTTAAGTAATCATTTTTGGGAAAATACCAGATGTATATCATATACCTCCTAAAAATAACAAGATATAATGATATTTTGCCCATATCGCCCAGCCTTAAGTGTAAGCATAATCAATTTTACATAGATATATACAATTTACTGAAACTAAAGAGATTGTTGCATGTTTTATGATATGCAGTAATAAATTTAAATGTTCATTGTTTTTTTCTTATGATTTACCACGTATACGTAGACATTACATGAAACATTAGGTCATGAAAATTTACTTGAAAGTCCTGGCATTTTTGAAGTAAAAAATGTGTATGACTCCTGGAAAGACAAATTAGATTTTGTTTTTCTTTGATTACTTACTTCCCAGTTAAAATCAGTCAATAAATAAAGATACAAATAACAGTTTACACTTACCATAGCTGGAGCCACTCTGTTGTGATGTACTGTAAAATGTGTTCACTGTAGAGTTTGAGGTGCTGGCTTCCTGCTGAGTTTGGGGTTCTGGCTCCCTGTTACACATGATTTATTAAACAATCAGATTAAAAGTTGTTGTCTTCATAAATTCCTTAAGGTTTAACACAGAATTCTAATAAATTAAGTTTTGATAGCCCTATTTAATAAAATGTTATAACACTACTGTTTGTTAGGGTTTTGTTCTTGTATTAGTTTCTTTCCAGAAACAAATGAAATGCACTTTTTTTTTAAAGCAAGCAGTGTTCTTTAAAAATTCTTGCTGCCAAGTAGGGTCTACACGGTAGTAAACAGGTAAGTTATGACACTACATAAGTGACTACTGGTAGCGAACTAATTAAGATACCAACTCTTTTATTGGAGATGTCCAGCAAGCCCCTTGATGTTCCCTTCTTAGATCTAACTCCGGGTGAGCTGCGATCGGATTGGGGTACTCGGGGGTAGGTCGCCCGTTAACAAAATGCTGAAATATATTTAAAAACAACGTTAACGTTATGTCAGCCAGCCTCCGTCTTCCCTTTAATCGTTCTATTTTACGTTTAATTATAGGCTTTCTAAACAAAGAGCCGTCATTATTTCTAAGCAATGCTGTGTTGATAGCTAGTTAGCTAATATAAGAGTGTTCTTACCTTGGAGCATATGTAGGTGTTTTTGTTAATCCTGTCGACGTTTAGTTGTGAATGCGGCCTCCCACACTGCCTGATCCAAGCCCGGCATTTCTCCCCTTGAGTTTTAGGTTTTGGGAAGGGAAAAAATTTCACCTCGCCCTCCAATCTTTTAGGATACCTGGTGTCAGATTTGCACAATACATAAGCACAACGCTTCGGCATGTTTCCGTCGCTCGAAAGCTGTTGCTGCTAAACCACTGGTCTGTAGCTGTAGCACGACTGGTGGCCTGTAGGTTTTCGGGCGTGGCTTAGCGAAGGGCCTTCGCTAAGCCCCGCCCTCCTTAGTTACTGTTGTTACGCCTGTCAAGCTTTCGTGCATGGCATGTATGCGCCACATGACAGACATTCCCAGGCAGGGGACTGGGACTTTAAATCAGCCCTGGCACTGTAGCCACACTAGCCCACATTACTACACTGACACAGCCCCATCCATGGACACGCACATTCAATACTTATATTGGTGTACAGATAGTAAAATAATATAAGCAGTACCATATGTATTAGATATTGAAACATTTAATGTATGTGACTGGAACAAAAACAACCCATTTATAACAAATTTATATATGAAATCATTCATTTTCGTTTCGGCTTTGTCCCTTTTTTAACCTGGGATCGCCACAGCAGAATGAACCGCTGACTTATTTAGTATATGTTTTACGCAGCGGATGCCCTCCAAGCTGCAACCCATCACTGGGAAACCCCTATACACACATTTACATACATGCACTACGGACAATTAAGCCTACCCTATTCACCTATGAGGTGAGGTGACAGCGCTACCCACTGCGCCACTGCACTGCCCCCTTTTGAGAATAGTTCAGTTCAGATATGCATTTGGCAATATCTGATTTTAGAGCCTTTTTTTTTTTTTGCTTTATTTGAGCTTTTCGGCACTGCCTTTCCTTTTTTATGGTCCATCTCTGACAATTAGCTTGTGTTGCACGTACTGTTTGTTTGACATTCTTGCCAGATTTTGATTACATTCCGCGTAACCTCTGATTAGGATGGTCCATCTCAAAACCAGCCGGTCATTGCCGATTGGGCCAATGCTTAACATTTATTATAATTATTCTTACTATTACCATAATCAAAAGCTGCCTACAGGTAAAAGCAATACATATAAAAAATAAATAAATAATAAAATAGCTGACCGGCCCACATTTAAAAAATGGTCCGGCCCTTCTGGCATTTGCCAGAATTGCCAGATGGCCAGTCCGCCCCTGTTCCCAGGCATATAGTTACTAGTTTTTGGCGAACAGGTGAAATATCCGAGAAAGCCAGACAAAAAAGGACTACAGTATGCGCTGCAGGGGTATAGTCACGACATAATACGCAATGATTAGAAAATAATTTAATCTAAATTGATGCTAGGTTAGCCTAGCCGCCTCATACTCTACCCATTCAACAGCTTAGTTTATGCACAGCAGGAGAGGTTAAATTAAAAATAATCAAATAATAACAATTTAAACCGTAAGTTCCCTTTTTTAGCCAAAAAGCCTGATATTAAATGTTGTGCAATGAAATATAGCGTTACTAACCGACGAGGAAACAAGCATGGACAGAGCTTCTACATCATTAATTCATAGAAAGAACAGCCTGAAATGGGGAAATTTATGGATTTGTGCAGAATATTAGCATCATTGACCCATAACAATGTACCGTATCTATAACTCTTAGTATGTTTGTGTGCTCTTACAGTTTCCATTCTAATTTACTGTTAAGTGGAAGAAATTAATAAATTGAATTGCAAATCAAAGTATAAATAGCAGAAGGGAACAGATTTTCCCTATCAGCAAATATTAATCCGACACAAAGCAGAGGTTGCACTATAACGTCGTCACCAACAGGGCCCTGATGACTCACCAATGGCTAAATATCTAAAAGACAGACGAAAACATCTGTGATTTGTTTTAACAACATCAAGTAAAATTTAAGACACCAGCAAGCAACACTTTGATTAGCTGATTACACATTAATGTGGTTATTCTCCTTCAAGACTAACACTCTTTGCAAGTGAGAAACCCATCATATCGCACTGTTCTTGATGTTCCGTGATACCAATGCACAGGATAACACTTCTGCCCTTTTTGCTAGTATTATAGCGTCTCTCAGGCTAATCCACATCTTTTTTCATGATGGAATATATTATCCTTTATTATGAGACTTATTATATTTCTCCCATTTGAAAATGGTATCTTATTACAAAACAATGCTGTCTCATTCTCAGTCACAGTTGATGATGTTGAGTTTTTCTCAGTTGCTTTGGTGCATTTCTCACAACACTATTTACATTTGCACAACAGTTAATGCCTTTCTCAAAACTATTAGTTATTTGTGCACATTATAGTAGCGGTTTCTCATTCCTTCCAACATTCCTTCCAAAATGCTTTTGGACACACATCAATTGCTTCCATACAATTCTCTGCTATATAGTTGTTTCATATAAAACTAATAGTCCTTATCACTCGAGTTATTACAGTACAAAAATGTTAAACTACTTTCAAACTCTTTCTAGCAAATTTTATTAAAAAAAAATCTTTTTTTTTTTGCTGAAAATGTCTTCAAATTGAACAATTTCATGAATGATTTACAGACCCATGTGTTTTGTAGGTTCAGTTGCAATATGTACTGCAACATTGTTTACAGTTGTGCACATCTCTACCCAAAGGAACTTTATGTTTGTTGTAAATAAGGCTGCATTATTCTTTTGCACAATTCTGTAAATAAATTAGAACTGCAGAGAGCATATAAAAATGTGAAACACGTTGTTGTAAAAAAAAAATAATTGAAGAAGAGAAGAGAGAACCCAGTTCAGGAGATTTGAACACGCAGAATTCCTTTATTGAGATGTGTTGGTTAATCTGCAGTCATATACAGCGTCTTCAAAAAGTCCATGTGTCTGCAAGAGTCTACTGGAGGTCTGCTGTCTGCTAGTTTTATCACAAATCTGAATTAAGACAAAGATGTTCCGTCTATAATGCCTTCAGTTTTGGAGTCAGCATGATAACCAGCATGTAGGTGTTAAAAACCTGCCCAGCAACTGACAAGATGAGTTAATCAACAAAAGGCCCAAAGACAAAGGCAGAGTCGTTAAAGGCCTGACCAAAGCGTTTGCATCACTCTTGCTCATCCTGTTGTCAGAAGTCTCTCATGGCTGGGCTGTTAATGAAATGATATTATTAAAAACCAAAGAATATAACTTTTCAGTTATACGTAGCTTATTGTTGATTTGAAACTAGATAAATTGATATTTCTAAAACATATTCAGTTTCTTGTACTCAAATACCTCACTAAATGCAGTGATGTCTAACTTTATTGTAGTTTTCAAATGACTGTGCATGTACTGTAGTGCTGTCTTGAACATTTTCAGGATGTGTCATCAAAATCTGACTTTTTTGCATTGGATAATTCTTAACTGTCATAATGAAAACATGACAAAGCCATTTGACTATCTTGTTCATAAACAATGGTGTCAGGACTTTTCAACTTAATGGCACTGACACTTTTATTGACACGAATACTTGCTTTTGAGCTATGAGCTATCCATTTTGAGCAAGTGACATGCTTTTTCAGGTTATAGGTTTTTCGGTTTGAACTAAATGTTTTGAGAAATGCATTAACTGTTGTGCAAATGTAAATAGTCTTGTGAGAAATGCACCAAAGCCACTGAGAAAAACTGTAATGATAAAATCCAAAAATTATAGTATAATTTTGAGAGTTAAGTATAATCTCACGGACCACCTGCAAGATTGCTGAGGCCCACTAGTGTACCGCGGCCCACCGGTTGAGAATTTATGGGCTAGTCTACATTAACAAAAATTTTTATGATGGCATATATAAGCCCTTGATATTAGACTTATATTTCTCCTATCTGAAAATTGTATCTTATTACAAAATAATGCTATCTTATTCTCAGTCACAGTTGATGATGTTGTGCTACAGCAAAAAATTAACAACAATTAAGAACATCGCTTTCATTCATTCGTTCTTTTATTTTAATTTTTTTTAGTCCCTGATTTATTTTTCAGTAAAGGTGTTCCAAACTAAAGCATTTTTTCTAAGTTAGATAGATAGATAGATGGATGGATGGATGGATGGATGGATGGATGGATGGATGGATGGATGGATGGATGGATGGATGGATGGATGGATGGATGGATGGATAGATAGATAGATAGATAGATAGATAGATAGATAGATAGATAGATAGATAGATAGATAGATAGATAGATAGATAGATAGATAGATAGATAGATAGATAGATAGATAGATAGATAGATAGATAGATAGATAGATAGATAGATAGATAGAGTGAGGATTTTCAATACAGCTGTATTTTTAACAACGAGAACTAGGTCTAATCTCAATTGACACCCACACAGACACAGTGTGTTTTTGTTTGTTTGTTTGTTTGTTTGCTTTTTATTTGTTTCATAAATCACCATATCCTTGTAATATCTGTGTCATACCCATGTCATTTTTTACACTTGTGTCCTGGTGTGTCACAAAAACACACATGCAAACAAGTGCAAAAACATATTTTAGAAACGTTTAAAAACCTTAAAACTCGTAACAGTGTATTAGATTATCATTTAGAATAGAATATAAAAGAAATATTTGGCCTGCACACATCTGTACCAGTACGGGCCAACATAATATTGCCACAACTATGTAAACGTTTAGCCATCAGATGGCGCCAGAGGTATGCAATTCGCTTGTATTACAGTTTTTTTTCCAACTGCTTACACACAAAATCTTTTCTTGTCACACGATTTCTGAAACATCTCACTTAAAATGAAAACCTACACAGCAAATCTCCAAAACCAGAAGTTATTTTTCAGCCTTGAACTGAACTTTTTTTAAAACAATACACAAACTCTCTTCCTAAAACTTGCTTTCCTTTACCAACGCAACCAATTAAAATGCTGCTGTTCTAATCCAAAAAAAAGCTTTTTTCAACTGTTTACACATATTTTCAAAACAGTGTCACATTTTTTTATATATAAAACTCTACACACACTTCCCAAAACTGCACACACAAAATGCAAAATGCCTCAGATCTCCTTTAACATGTAAGACTGCATTCAAAATGCCATACTTGCCAGTATCAAGCATTTGCATCATATTGCAAACACTTCTTTCATAATAGTAAATGTTTGAATATACCGTGTAAACACTGTTGTTTTAAATTTAAATCTAAAGGTTTTTGCTCTTTCATAAGCTCTACAGTGAAAAT